TCCCTAATGACATCATACAGAGCTAGAAGGCAGCTGTTGTCACCAGTGCATTCAAGAATCCTTTTGGCTGTGATTCCTCAGCCTTGACTGAGGGAGGACTGAAGCCAGGGTCGGTCTCCCCAGAAAGACCTTCTCAACTGGTCCGGGATTACAGGACATACGATAGCCTCTCGATTTCCCACCATCTGCCTGAAATCTTCATCGCTTCACCTTCTGAGAACAACAAGGGGCAGGGATGTGCATTGGTGGCAGGAGTTCTGTGAGAGTCCCAGAAGGAAAGAAAACAACTCTAAGATAGAAAATGGAAACCATGGCCTCCTGAAAGCTAAAACGTCCTGACAATCCAAGAAGCTCATCTGATGGGTGACCTCCTGAAACTTTCTGTGACTCTAACTCATGCTGGTGGGGGAGGATGAGAGGAGGCGGCTACCACACTGAGGGAATACAGAAGGAGCACAACTAAGGATTTCATTATCAGAATTTTTGTGACCAAATATACCATTGTTTGCCTGTCAAAAAAAAATATTTTCAGTGTAACTTACGTACGTACTGCTAATTTCACCAAACATTTTCATTGTATTCCTTTTTATCTTCAGAATCTCTGCTAACCTGGAACATTTTACTTCAGTCCCATTAATCAATAAGCACCTACTGAATACCACTCTGAGCACCTGCTGAATACCACTCATGCTGGGTACCACAGCTATATTTAGGGGAAAAAAAGCTGATTCAATTATAAAAGTACTTTACCCGTAACTTATGAAACATGGACTTATGAAATTGAGTAGAAAAACACCACATAAACTTACTCGGTGATGCAGTCAATATACGACAGTGTAAGACAGAGGCTTAAAGTATTTTCACTAAAAGATAATTTTAAGTCATTCATTTCAAAATCATCTCAAGTTCATATTCTAGGAATGCCCCACCCCACAACAAGCCTATATGTATCTAAAAATTTAGATTTATATCAGCTATAAATTAGGAAAAGTACCTCTGCTTGTAAGGTAATTCTTTTCTTCTGGAAGAGGATTTCTCGCAGCTCCTTTGGAATTGGAAACTCATGGCATGAATTGAAAGCAAGTTTTGCTGATAAGAGCACATACCATGAGCCAGACAGCCAGGCTCAATACGAACTCTGCTAGGTTCTAGCTGTGTGATTCAGACAAGTGATTCAACATCTCTGTGCTCCAGGGTCCTCGTTTGTAAGGAGAAGACAATGACAGTGCCTCCCCACAGAGGGGTTACAAAGATTAGATGAGCTCCTGTAACTAAAGTCCTTGGCACTATGCCTGGCTCTCATCTGCTATGCAAAGTGGGGCACTGCACTACCAGGGCCAGGTGCATAGCAAACACCTGGGCAGAGAGCAGATCTAGTACTAGACAGAAATTTTTCCCCCAGAGAACTCATACATGTTTGCGTGTCTTCTGAAAAGCAAACAGAAGTATTCCTTTAGGAGATGGAGGAAGCCCTCACAAATGCTATTATTTAGCTATGTCTTCTCCCCTTTTTATTTCAATTCCTAAAACAGAACTACTCTCTCTTTAAAATCAAATTGATGACAGGCTCTTCCCACCTACTTCAGAGTCAATTCTAGCAAGGTAGCTAAAGAAGCAATCCACAGCAGATATATCACAGTTCTTACTAGATGTCAGCTTCTTCCCATCAGGTGAGATGGATGATTGATTGGCTGGATGGATAATAAATTGTTCCTGGATCAATGCTGAATGATAATTATATCTAATCTCTGTGCATAGAAAAGCCACGCCAGGTAGGCAGTGTTTCACACCTGTAATTCCAGCACTTTGGGAGGCCAAAGCAGGTGAATCACCTGAGGTCAGGAGTTCGAAACCAGCCTGGCCAATATGGCGAACCGCAATCTACTAAAAATACAAAAATTAGCCAGACATGGTGGCTGCACCTGCAATCCCAGCTACTCAGGAGGCTGAAGCAAGAGAATTCCTTGACCCCAGGAGGAAGAGTTTGCAGTATGCCGAGCCAAAATTGCGCCATTGCACTCCAGCCTGGGCGACAGAGTGAAACTCCATCTAAAACAAAAAGGAAAAGAAAGAAAAGCCAAGCCTTCTGACATTAGCAGTATCATATGCTTGAAAATTAACTATCATAATAATTTACATTGGCCTCATCTTTATTGAGATGAGGCCAGTGTAAAGCCACATGTAAAGATGAATTCAGCAAAAACCCAAACCAAATGAAATACTGTTTCAGGGAATATTCTTAGGTTGTGATTGTGTCTACCGTAACAGAATTTAAAAATAATGGTCTAAATAATTCTAAATGCTTTCTCATAAATAATTGTAGATAGAGCCCAAAATAAGTATTTTCAGATTTTCTGAATATTGGTTCAAATTCAATTTATTCTAGATTTTATTTCAGTCTCTGGTGCTTGTAACTTTCATTTTACATATCTTAGCCCAGTAACTTGTTCTTGAAAAAATGGTAGAACCATGTCACCTACCCTTTAAAATGTTTTATTCAAAAATAATAAAAGGTATAGAAAATTGTACAAGTCGTAAACATCCAAGTCAATGAATTTTCACACACCGAATACAACTGTGTAATTAGCACCTAGGTTAAGAAACAGAACTCGGCAGCACCTCAGAAGCCCACTTCATGCCTCATCTCCCAAAAGCAACCTCTATCCTGACCCTTAAGCACACAGTTGAGTGCATCAGTTGGCTCTTGCTGCATAACCAACAATCACAAAACTTCAGTATTTTATCACTCACTCACCTGGGGCGGGTGTGTAGGCGAGTCGGCTCATGTTGGCTGGGCTCTTTCTTGCCAGGTCTGTCCCGCAGACCCCAGCTGACGGATGAAACAAGTACTAATACACAGGTATGCAGTGTAAGAGCAGTGAGGTGACTGCGCGACTCTACTGGTCAGAAAGCAGTCCCGAGAAGCTGGAGCTGCCTGCTTTCATTCAGTGCAGGCACAATGCCGAAAACCTGGAGCAAACACAACCTGCAGGTAATTAACATTTACTGTTCCCCTTTCAGGGAACATCACGTGTGCAGATGATCAGAAGTCAGTTCCTGGTCAGGAAAAGTGAACAAGCCTGTTTAAGATAAATTCCCCTACACTCCCTTGGGCTCTGCAGAACTTTCCAACCTTTCAGGAGGTTTGTGCCTTTCCCTATAGTTTTTCCCACCACTCTGACAGATCCCCCACAGGCTCACTCTTGCATATGGGGAGCTGGGGGACAGCTCGCCTCCAGCAGCCTAGCCACGGCATGGCCATAGTGATAGCAGAGAATAAGAGAACAAGCAGAAATATGCAGGCCTCCTCTTTATTCAAGAAGACAGGATCTGACAGAGCCGGGATTAGAGTGAGGCTGGCAGAGTGGGGTTGGAAAATTGAGTCATGCAAGAGCAGGGTCAGCTATGCCTTTATTGAAATTTTGACATTTTGTTCATGATAGATTTTTTTGCATTAATTTTGATTTTTCAAAACCGTACATTCAATGTTATTTTTCTTGATTATTGAGAGTTTTGGTGCCTCCTTAATTTTAAGGCTGGGCCTTCATTGTCTCACCATAGTTCTGACCCTGCTGGGGACATACACTCCGCATCTTCAGTGAAAGGAGCTGCGGTCATAAGGCAAAGGGCCTGGGTTTCAAGAGATGAAGAATTAGAGCTACTAGCGCAATCAATCTACCACAATTAGTTTTGGCCATTTTTGAGGCTGGACACAGTGACTGACGCCTGTAATCCCAGCACTTTGGGAGGCTGAGCCAGGGGGATCACTTGAGCAAAAGAGTTTGAGACCAGCCTGGGCATCATAGGAGATCCCATCTGTACAAAAAGTTTTTTAAAGTATTAGGTGAGTGTGGTGGCGGGCTCCTATAGTCCCAGCTACTCAGGAGGCTGAGGTAGGAGGATCCTTGGGCCTGGGAATTCAACGCTGCAGTGAGCTGTGATTATGCAACTGTACTCCAACCTGAGTGACAGAGCAAGACTTTGTTTGGGGCCATTTTTGTATTCGATATAAATGGAATTGAACAATGTGTATTCCCTTGAGTCTGGCATCCTTTTCTCAATGTTATATTTGTAAAATGCATCCAGAGTGTTGTGTGTAATTGTAAATCATTTATTTTCATTGCTACCCAGAATCCCATTGTACAAAGACATCACAGGGTTGCAGGACATTTGGATAGTCACCATTTAGAGCTATTAACACCATTGTGTTGAACAATCTAGCATAACTCTCTACTAAATACATATGCATTTTTGTTGGGCACGTACTTAGGAACAGAATTGCTGGGTCAGAGGGTATGTGTACATTCAGTTTTAATTGTTGCCAGTTTCCCAGCAATTAATTTGTTTAGCTTTGTTAAAGTTCTTGGTATGTGGTAGTATGAATCTTCCAGTATTGTTCTTTAAGACAGTTTGGCTATTTTTGGCTCTACGTTTCTAAATGAATTTTAGAAATAGCTTGTCAATTTCCACAAAGGAAAAAAACCTGCTGGGATTTTTACTGGGCTTGTTTTGAATCTGTAGACTAATTTGGGAAGAACTGACATCTCTACAACATACCTCAATGTCATCTTAAATTGTTCTCCATGTCTCATACCTTTGTATATCTACTTTGAATAAAATAGGTAGCCAATAAATACCTAAAATAGGTGGCTAATAAAGGCATTACAAAGCTTTAGACTTAATGATATTTTTCAGCCATAATACACATCTGCTATGGTACAGATGTCCTCACCAAAACTCTTGTGGACATTTGATTGCCATTGTCACCGTTTTGGGACATGGGGCCTGTAAGAGGTGATTAGGTCATGGGAGCTCTGCCTTTGTGAATAGACTCACACTGTTATCACAGAAGTGAGTGAGCGATTTAGGGAGTCTGCCCCCCTTTTCCTCCCTCCCTCCCTCTCTGTCTCTGTCTTTCTTTGTCACATGCCCTCTCTTGCCCTTCTGCCATAGGATGACCCTCACCAGATGATAGTACCATGCTCTTGGACTTCCCAGCCTCCAAAACCATAAGCTAAATAAATTTCTCTTCATTATAAATTACCCATTCTGGAGTAGTCTGTTACAGTGACAGGAAACCAACTAAGACAACCTCTTCCAGACAGCTGAATCATTCTTCTCTTCCATTACCCTAGGCCTTGCACATGCTCTTCCTTAGTCGGGCAGAATTCTCTCCCTGCCTTCTGTCCCTCTACCTGACTAAATCGAGTCTTCCTTGACAAGTCTGTTCAAATGTCACTGCTCTGCAGAGTTAGCAAGTCCTCTTTGTTTTCCTCCCTCTGCACTCCTTCACCCAATTTTAAGTTGCCACGTTGTATTCTAATGAGCTGCTCGGGTTCCCACTAAATACTTGGGTGTCTACCAGAGCCAGCCCAGCACTAAGTAGATTTGTGTTGAATAAAAGAAAACGATCAATCCACTTTTTGCTGGGCTGTTTGTTACTTGATTTACTTTGTCTTTGTAAGACTTCATCTGATCTTAAATTGAGTCAAAATATGCGTGTTCTAGTTTGGCAAAGGAGTACATGCTATCTGATGTTTGCTTCATTATTTATTTTGATTTGAAAACATTTCTTTATATTAAATGTCTTTACAATAGGGATTTGAAGCGAATAAATTGTTTGGTCTGATTCACAGCACAGTTTCTAAGTCAGTCTAGAAGAAAGCCATCAACACTGATATTTCCAGTGACCAGTAGCAAGAGAACGCATGAAAAGGCAGGCACACCTCCAGTGACCACTAGGTGGCAGCTTCACTCTCAAATATGACCGGATTGACAACGTCCATCCAAGAAGTCTGGGGCAGGCAAGTTGGAGCACAGGGCGAAGCTTCACTAGGCCCTGTGGGTGGAAATATGAAGACCCAAACTCAGCCCTGAAGAAGATGGAGTTATGGAAAAAACAGCACATGGAAAATGTAAAGGAATGCCACTAGACGTTATTTCACTGAAAGTTTAGCTAAGTTAACCACAGCCACAAAATTGGTAGAGAAAAGACGTGCAGGACCCGAGACAGGCCAGACCGTGTTGGAAGGCAAAGGAGTCTCCTGCCCGCCCTCCACAGCTGGAGCCCAGCCCCTTGGGGAAAGGCAGGATGGTTGTGGGCTGGTCGTTGCTGAGCCCCAGTCATGTGCTGAGTGACAACCTCAGATGTATCTCAGCCAAGACTGCTTGCTTCTCTTCTGAGAGACCCTAGAAGGAACCCCTGAGAGGCCCTGCTTAGTCTTTCTAGTTCCCATTCCAAAGCTGAGTAAGGGACTTTTCAAGCTCGGAGTGTGAATGAGGGGCAGGGCTTATCTCCACAGAAACCTGAGGTGGCTCCTATCACAGCAAATCTAGACACTTCATGGGTCCACCCACAACAGGCCACCCAGGACCCCTGAGGAAATTACCTGGACTATTAACCTTGAGGAGGGAACAGGCCAAAATCACCAATGGACTTCTATCAGGACCATATTTTATATATATATATATATATATATATATATAAAGCACAGATTTCTTCTGTCCTAGAATAGGGAAACTGAGGCCCAGAGCAAGCCAGGGACGAAGTAAATGCAACCCCTGTGACTGAGAAGAGAGCCTTCGGGTAGGCCTAAGGAGACAAAAACCCCAAGGAAGCCATCTTGGCGATACCCAGGTTATCACAGTATAACACCCACTCATACATTTGTGGAAGGGCTTTAACTGTTGCACACGAAGAACATGAGTTCTTCATGAATCAGTCGTCAGTAAGAACCTGTTCTCTTCTCTTTATCTGCTACCACCCCCAGAAAGACTGCAAAGAACAGACATTTGAGTCCACCCGAAACTGCCAAGCTCAAAAGACACTGCACCAGCTATGAGGTAACAACCACCAGAGGTTACAGGATCTGTGAACAGGGTAAGCTCCTTTACTTCCCTCCTGCTGGAGTGTGAGTTATAAAATAGACTAACAATGACAGGGAGAGGCAAGTTTTAAGAAAGAGCTAGTAAGATGCTACATGCAGCTTCTCCCCACATCTTCCACACCACACCGACATCAACCTCCAGGCCTAGTTTGGGTGGAGAAAGGAAGTCCCAGAGGATCTGAGAGGATAGGTTGGCATGCTCTCCCCCAGGTGGACTTTCCCAAGCAGCAGCTCCCACAGATGCATCTGCCGCTGGGTCACAGGGAGACAGGAAGTGGTGAAGGGCAGGGCACAGTCAGGTCGGAGGGGCTGGGAGCCACTTCCAGGCTTCTTTTGGAGTCAAGCTTTGTAATGGAGGAGATCCATGCATTTCCTTGGACCCAGCATGGTCTGAAGACATGAGCTGGAGCTCGAACAACATGCCTGCCCCAAAAGGACCCTTGGAGAAGAGAAGGGAAGCATCTTCTCCTAGGTTCCAATCCCCGAGCTCTTATCGGTGGCCCTGGGTGAGATGTTCGCTTGCTCTGAGCCTCAGGTTTCCTCCCTGTCAAATGGGGATAACATTACCTAATTTCTAAAGTTATTAGAATAAAATAAAATAAAATTCATCAAGTTTCTTGTACAGAATAGATGAGTAATAAATGGGATGAGTGTGGAGTACCTTCCTGGGATGGAGCCACGGACTCACTATGAAGCGGCAGAGAGTTCCATGTGCTTCCTGAAAAGGCTGGCCTCTAGCAATACCTGTGGCAGGGGACATCAGCAGAAAAGTTAACCTAGGGTGCCAAGAAGCACTTGGGACCAGAGGGAGGATGCTCTCCCCATCGCTAGCACACAGGTAACCATGGAACAGGACTTCTCTACCACTGGTAGCCACTAAGGAAATTAGGGGTAATAGAGGCAAGAAAATTACATTCAATTATAAAATACATTCCATTTTATCAGGCAGCCTCCTGGTCAGCCTGCACTGTGTTCCTGCCCCTGTGTTTCTACAGTAGCAATGTAATTATCGGTAGCTACTGTAAAAAATTACTGAAACTTACAGTATAAAACACACACTTACTATAATTTAGTTCTATGGGCCAGAAGTCCCATGGGTCTCATAAGACTCAAATCAACGTCTCAGCAGGACAGCGTTCCTTGGTGACAGCTCTAGGGGAGAGTGTATTTCTTTGCTCATTCTGATCTTGACAGTTCCATGGGATTGCAAGACTGGGGTCCTTGCTAGTTGCTAACTGGGGCCACCCTGAACTCCTAGAAGACATTTGCTCTGTCCTTAGATATATAGTTCCTACAACTCTGAAACAGCAACCGGGCAGGGAATCCTTCTCTCGTAGCGCTCTCATTGACCTCACTTCCCCTAGACACATTTCTGTCTCTGCCTGCACTTAGGGAAGGCAGACTGCTTCTCAAGATTAGATGGGGCCCATTCGGATAATCCAGGATAATCTCTTTATCTCAAGATCCCTAATGTTAACCACACTTGCAAAATCCTTTTTGCTGTTAAGATAACATAGTCACAGCTCAGGGAATGAGAATGTGAACATCTTTCGGTTCGGGGGGCATCTTTCTGGCTATCAAGCTATTAAACATTCACCAGGCATTTATTTATGACCTTAATGGCCAAGTACCATGCTATGTGCCAATTCTATGTTGGCATAAGAGGCATCAGGGAGAAAGTCTAGACTGGGTGGTGCCACCCACTGGGACATCTGACTTTGCAGTACTCCAGGGGATTCTGTCCACATAAAATACAATATGGATTGTACCTCACACCTCCCACTCCCTTAACCCTCTTGACTCCCCAGGCCTTGCCCCTGACTTATATAGGCTGAAACCCCAGTCTGAAATTGCTGGAGGTGTCTGAATAAGGTCATTCCAGTTCTCTGGGAGGCAGGAGCTAAGCTCACCAGGGGACTGAGATGATGACCCTGCTAGAACGAGGTTCAGCCATAGCAGAAAAACCAAACAGAGCAAGGCAGGACTTGCAGCAGTCCAAACAGGCCCCTGCAGACAAATGCTGCTCTTGCTCTTAGCCTTGCTTCCTGGCCTGGTTTCATTGTCCCTCTGGGGACTACAGAGGGAAATGCCCAGGTCCTCTTGGGTCCCTTGTAACTCCATATCAGAATAGAAAAACTGTCGCTAACTGAAGCCCCTTCCGGCTGAGGTTCCCTGGCCTATATTTTGCAGCTCCAGGGCTCATTACAGCCACCAATTTGCTGATATGTTCTCAACCACAAGGATGGTGAGTCAGCACAGTGGTTGACTCTCAGCAGAGAGGCTGCAGCCTTCAGCAGAGCCCTCAGTAGGGCAGCTTCCTGATCAGCCTCTGCTGTGGTCCTGCCCCTGTGCTTCTTCCAGTTCTGGGCATCCCTGGCCTGGCTGGCACCCTAGTCACACACCCAAAACGCAGTTCAGCTTGCTGAGCACAGTGCCTCCCAAAACCATGGCATAAGAGGTGAAGGATAGAACAGGGAGGAAGTCATCAGCCCAGTCTGACAAGTGCAGGCCAGCATTTGGCCAACAGCAACTCAGGCTCTTTGCTCCAGTCCAAACCCAAAACATGAGTCAGAATTCACCTCTGGAATTCAGGTCCTGACAGCTGAGACACAGTCCCCATTGCAGCATCACATTCCGGCCAACCAGCCTTCCAGGGGCAGGAGCTGACACCAGGAATGGGCGCTCAGTCCTCTCTCAGTTAAAAAGCCTTTGCTTCATACCACAAAACCCAAAGTGCCAGCTGTGGTCGTCACTTCTGCTCCTGCCACTTAAAATTTGCTGGCAAGATAGACTTTAAGGGAATGATTTCCCCACACACATAGCATTCCTTGTTTTAATCTTTCCTGTACCCCTCTTAGGGCTAAATTACTGATGAGAGCCCTGAGTGACACAGAACAAGCTGGCAGCAAGAAGGAAACTTGTCAGCAGTGACAAGCTCTAGATGACAGTTATGTGGCTTGGAAGGCAAGTCTTACTCTAAAAAGATCCTGCCCCCATCCCAGCTCTGGATTACTTGGTCTGGTAGGTTTTACAGAGTATGACCCCAGTTTTCTGTTTAAGGACATTGGCCTCCAGATATGGCTAGGAGAGAGTTTTCCTCTCAGATCTTGCCCCAAAGATCACCATGACAATGACCAGAATAATAAATGTCTATAATCACATGCAATCTTTAGCTCTAGTAATAGAGTATGGCAGAGAACTCTGCTGCTATTGCTGCTGCTGGTGGTGGTGGTGATGATAAGGAAGACAGTAGATGATCTGACCTTCCTCAGCCTCTGATGGCTGATTACAGGTAGATGTGGCTTCTGAAGAAAGTTATATAATTCACCTCTTGTTCCTGATGCACTTTTAACAAAACTTCCCTGGAAAAGACTTTGTACCTTCTTTAAGTACCCAACACACAGTCATCTTTGTTTTCCTACCAAGTTCCCACATTTCTGCCTCAGTGGGTTCTATAGTCTGAACCCCAGAAACAATTTGATAGTTCAACCATCTGGCAAGTAGTTACATCAAGGGGATTGTAGATTCCCAACCCAGAATGGAAGAATCCTTGACTCCCTGCACCACCACCACCACCCCCACCCCGCCAATTTCTGCCCCACCTCGAACTGTCTATATCATCTCAACCGCCCAACTTTTGGGGAAGAGGGGTGAATTTCCTCTTCCTTTTCATCGAGACTAGCCCAGGTCTCAGACCCAATCTCTTTACTGGGAACCTAGGCTAGTAATTTTGAGCACACAAAATCAATAGCAAAAATCAAGTCCCATGTGGTAGAACAACCTCAACTCAAGAGAAAGCTCATTGGTTGAGAGTGTTCATAGCATCGTGCACTGCCCAGGAATGCAGAGAACATGTAGCCCTGCTAGCTCTTGTTGATTGAGAATGGAAGACAGCTCTTGGAATGTAGGGGAAAAATCTACGGCTGTCATGAAAAAAATATTCATGTTATTTAAATAGTAGAATCACAGTGAACCAGAACCAGGGTGACATTAAACTGGGTGTACCTGTGCTTAAAGTTGAAGGTGAGATCCTTTCAGGCAAACAGGCAGTGGTGTCACTGGGAGAGTCCCATGCATTCTGGGAAGACAAGGCTCCCAGCATAGAACATCTCCTAATTTCCCAACTGTAGGAACCCTTAATGTAAGTGTCCAGTCATGTCCTGGAATTGCCCTAAGTTCCACATGTGTCCTTAAAATGAGCTTGGACCCTACTTCACTCCAGCCTACCAGCTTTCTTGCTGTTTTTCCAACACCCCAAGTTTGCCTCCACCTTGGAGGTCTTACCCACTATTGCCTCTGTCTGAAACATTCCTCCTCCAGCTTCTTTGTGGCTGAGCCCCTCTTGCTGTTCAGGCCTCAGTTCAAATATCTCCCCTCAGAAGAGATGATGCCTCATGCCCCCTCTGTGGTAGCCCATGCACCCTAAGGGTTCACCATCCCACCTTCCCCTCTTCTTTTCTTATCACCAGCTGACATGATCTTAGGTCTGGTTTGCTTCTCATTTACTGTCTTGTGTCACCCTACACAAGTGTGAGCTCCATGGGAGCAGGGCCCTGGCCAATCTTGTTCACTGCTGTGTTCTCAAGGTTCAGATGGTATCTGGCAGCCCATGAAAATGTGTTGAAGGAAAATGGAAACATATATTCAGTCATACATGTTTGGTAGGCTGGGAATCCCCAGAGGAGGTCGAACCCAGAGGGAGAAAGAGAGAGAACTGGGCTCTGGGGGAAAATCCCAAGGGGACAAGGGCTCTGATGGAGAGGGCAGGACCTGGCAGCCAGGCTGGAGTCTCCAATGTACAAGGCTGTGTTATGTCATTCCCTCCCCACCCAGGGAAAAAGAGCACTGATGTGCAAAATAACTAGGACCCTGCAAGCCTGGGGTAGAAACACTTTGGAGAAATCTTATTTTCAGAGAGCTTCCATGAAAACCTCTGGGAACCAAGACACTGGGTGCTAGACTAGAACCCAACCCCAAGAATAACTATTTGGGTGTGCAGGACAAGACAGCCAGAAAAGTGGCCTGGTTTTCCTCCCCTTGCTGGATAGTGAGAAATGAAACCAGCTAATAAAACTTTATAGATTCACTTATTTATTTGGCCATGTCAGTGTATGTTTGTTTTATTGTATATATTTAAGGTGCACAACATAATGTTTTGATATACAGAGTGAAACAATTACTACAGTCAAGCCAGTTAATGTATAATCATCTCACAGAGTTACCTTTTTTAGGTTGTGTGGCAAGAACACCTAAAATCCACTCTATAGGCAGATTTCCAGTACAGATGGTCCTTGACTTAATGGTGGTTTGACTTAAGATGTTTCAGTGTCATGACGATGTCAAAGTGATACACATTCAGCACACTACTTGACTTACAATAAGGTTATGGCAGAGAAGCATCTGTATATAACATTACATGGTCTGTGTGCTGTGCATTAGATTTCAAGACTTATTCATCCTACATAACCGCAACTTGGCACCCTTTGACCTACATCTCCCATGGTCCCTTTGGTGACTGCCAGTCTCCTCTCTGTTTTGATGATTTTTGAATTCCAGATATGAGAGAGATCATATGATATTTGTTGTTCTGTGTCTGGTACATTTCACGTAACGTAATGTCCTCCAGGTTCATCTATCTTGTCACAAATGGCAGGATTCCTTCCTTTTTAACGCTAAATAATAGTCTATTGTGTGTGACACACACACACCCCACATTTTCTTTATTCAGTCATCTGTCAATGGACACTTATGCTGTTTTCATATCTCAACTACTGTGAATAATGCTGCTTTAGAAGCACAGTGAGAAGTCACCTGGAACCTTTGCCCTGCCACCACCCAACCCCAAGGCCTTGTCCTGAGTCCGGAAGAGGGAAGCCCAAGGGGAAAAAAAAAAAAAAGGAAAGACAAAATGATAACTCTGTGAGCTCTGGAGATCTGAGGAACAGCCAAGATTGGAATTCTCCCTGCCCCATTCCAGAGTTTTCTGAGCTGCAACCCTGCAGGCATGCTTTGCAAGATACATATAATTCTTATTTTCCAGGCAAAAAAGTTAAAGGCCTGCTGCTGCTACTGCTGCTGCTGCTGATGGTGATGAGAAGGAAATCACAAGATGATCTGAACTTCCTCAGCCTCCGATGGCTGATTATAGGTAAATGTGGCTTCTGAAGCAGTTATATAATTTGCCTCTTGTTCCTAATCCACTTTTAGCAAAACTAAAGTAATTCAAAAGTAATCCAGGCCAAAGTACAGTTGATTGGTTATAGAAACATACTTCTCTGACTGCCAGATTACCATTCCTCTGGACCTCCTGCTAGAATTAGAACCCTAATTTTTAAAGGCACCAGGTAGGCAGTGCTCAGGGGAGGCTGAACTGCTAGCTCCCATATTAGGGAATCTTGATTAAACTAAGCCAGGAGTCTCAGCACTGGCTGCCCATTAGAACCATTCAGCCTAGTTAAATCAGCCTATCTGGAGTGAGTCTAAGCCTCAGTAGTTTTACAAAGCTCCCCCAGTGATTCAAAAGTGCAGCCAGGACTGGGATAGCCAACCTAAACTACTCATGATAATTTCCATTCTCATTAGCTGTGGGGTTCTGGGAAAGCAAAATTCCTTTCTTTGAAATACAAACATATTGTGTTGATGAAGCAGGTTGTGCTGCATCCGGAGGTGATGCCTAGAACCGTGGACACCATCTGGAGAACAAAAGCCAGCACGCTGAAGTCGGCAGGGGAAAAAGAAGGGGAAAGTCCAGTTACTCAAGATATTATTGGGCGCAGTGGCCTACCCCTGTAATCCCCACACTTTGGGAGGCCAAGGCGGGCAGATCACCTGAGGTCAGGAGTTCAAGACCAGCCTCGCCAACATGGTGAAACCCCATCTCTACTAAAAAAAAAAAAAAAAACCTAGAAACTAGCCATGCATGGTAGCAGACGCCTATAATCCCAGCTACCCAGGAGGTTGAGGAGGGAGAACTGCCTGAACCCAGGAGGCAGAGGTTTCAGTGAACTTAGATTGTACCACTGCACTCCAGCCTGGGCAACAAAGCGAGACTCCATCTCAGAAAAAAAAGAGAAAAAAGAAAAGACATTATTGAACAGACGAATTACCCAACCCTGAAACTGCTCTCCCTTGGACTTTCTGTGTTAAGTGAGTTAGTAAAGTTCGATGTGGCCAGTTTTTGTTGGATTTTTCATTACTTGAAGCTGAGAGCATTCTATGTGATACAATCATACAGAAAGCAGCAGAACCAAAAGTCAAGCCAAGTTCAACTTTGAGGCAGCCAATAGAAGCAAAGAGTGAAGAGAGACCAACAGACAAGTGGGAGTTATCTGAATCAGATCAGCGGGTTTCTAGGTGGTTTTCAGCTATTGAAGGTAGTTTAAGGTTATGATATGTTATCTTGATTTTTTCTTCTTTTTTCCCTATTCATCAGCATCCCTACATGAAAATAAAGAACACTATCTAGTAATTAATTGCCAGGTTTAAAATGTAAAATTGGAGAAGAAGACCAGGTTTGAAATGTGGAAGATGGTTGAAATTAACAGCTAAACTTAAGAATTAGGATTGCCTTGGGTTTCAGTAAAACATCAAGCAAATTTGCTCATTTAGCCAACAACCTCAGTGACGAATGAGTCAAACCAGTTTTTCAATCCAGTAATTTTTCATTTAGGGCCCCCAAATTAAATGTTAAAATGCCCCTTTCTAACATTTGATCACTATAAAATAATCAAATCAGTGAAAAATCAGCCCCCAGAAATAAAACTGCTTCTTGAAAGGTTCTTACACCTACCTGTCCCACCATACTCCAACAGGCAGCTTAAGGAAAGGGGTCTGTGCCTTTCAGTTCACATGCAACCTGGAGAAGGCTAGAGATTTCCACAGCAGTACCAAAGAACTGCCTGAAGGTGGCGCTCAAGGGTGATAGTAACAGAGCGTCTGATCCGGCAATTTCAGCATTTGCAAGACATCAAGCCGGTTTTCTTCCCTGATAAAGCTAATTGCCTTGCATTAACGCACAGCATAAGACTTCGCAGCACAAAAAGAATAACGGAATTATAAAAGCTGTAATTTGGAGGCTTTGTCAAGAGCTGTGATGAGCACACCCTAATAGGTATAAATGTTCTGAAGTACTAATGCTCTGTGAAGAGGGGTTTCTGAGGGAGGAACAATGCCTGCATTAGTATTCGGGCTCTGGAGAGGAAAAAGCTTTTTGGTCTGCAATTACTGGCGTCCTGTTCTTTGCTTTAGAACACATCTACCTGATGCTTGCTATTTTTTTCAGGCACACTTCCCTTCTCTTATTTCACATGTACATTCGCATGAATAAAACTTGCTTTTTAGACTTTACCAGGTACTGAAGTGGCTGCCTGATGGAGAGGCTTAGATGCTCACCTTGAAGCAGCTTCCCCTAACACTGGGTCTGTGAAGCTTCAGGGTGCAAAACATGCTTATCTAGACAATATCATAAGTCCGCTGAGTTTAGATTTTCTGCTCTACTTCCTAAGCCTGCATCTCCGACTCTTCTTCCCTTTGAAGCCCTATAAAATTGTGCA